GATACTTGGTCGAAGTGGCGTTTCCATATAAAATGTATAATGTCCTGTAGAGTGTGGAAGTCTGATTCCAAATTTGCTTTCCTTATCTAAGCGCTTCTGGGAACGAAGTTATAGGAATTTCTTGGATTAAAAAAATCAGTGAATTTGGCTAAGGTAAAGACAGGTGCTGAGGTCTTTCTGGCGCCTGAAAGGAGTATTAATTAATGTATATTGGGTTTACGATATTTACTGCACAAAAAGCCCTGGTAATAATGGCCCTCTTTGAGTCCATGGACTAAAGTTCTGAACAGTTTTATCGTAGCGGCGCTTTCAAAATTTTGCAAAAAAATTTTCATAACTTCCCTTCGCAGATAAGGAGAGCAGATTTGGAATCAGTGTTCCATGCTCTATAAGATGGTGTACATTTCGTATAGAAAGGCCACTTCGACCAAGTATCATCCCCTTCTTAGGATTGGAGGATAATGCAATGCCTTACCACTTAAAACTTCGCAAATAATCTTGCGTAGATTGGGTGAGTAGTGATATTCACAAATTTTGTTGCTGCTTATGCAAAATGCTTATTGTGGTTGGAAAACTATGGACGGAAAGGACATCATCTGACAAAGCAGAACATCGATCATGATCTGAATAACATCATTTAAGCTGTACTTTACCTAGGCGCAAAAAAATGAGTTAAAATAACAACAAAAAAATTCAGCTTACGGAACCGTTCACTTTAGTGATTGTGACTGATTAATTTATAATGGCTCATTTTCTAGTGACAGATAATGATTTCTTCTGCCATTTGTGATTATTCGGTAACTCACATGTTTCAGTGTTACCAAAAATTATCGATTATAGTTCTTGAAGTGAGATCTTTTTGAACTTTAATGACAGTCTCGTATTCTATTCCCGTACGCGACATCATTTTTTGCAGGGAGAAAAAAACGCTTTCTATAAAAACAAATTATGTTTTTGACTAAGAAGCATTTCCTACCTGTTGCACAGATTTTCCTGCGAAAAAAACCGTTCTAGCGGCATCAAACGGTCAAAAACGTGCATGAGCACGATACTTCGAAAATTCATACCTAAAGCCAGGAAGAAGCTGAGAGGCTGCAACGAATAGACTGTTTAGTACAGTGCCCAAGCTATCCATGGAGAAAGTTTCAGCCAGTGAGGGGCAGTGAGCTCGGAAAAATCTAGGTGCGACTCTCGCAATTTTAGATGCGATCTTAAAAAACAAAAACTGGGATTTTTACGCTTGAAATTTTGTAACTCACGGGAGAAGTTATGAGACAGCCTGAAATTTTTATGATAGAAAGTGGGAGATGGCCTCGTATTGTAGCAAAACTGCAGCCATCAAGCTTCCATAGCTGCGCAAAAATCTAGATGCGACCCAGATACGACCCCGCTTTTCTCATTTTTTGCTACTAAACATAAATTCACAAGAAAATCCACAGTTTACAAAATATCACCAGATTTTGCGCAGATATAGTAGGACTTCTCAAGTATAGATTAATTGTATGGGCCCATGAGAAACATTACAAAAAGACTTAAAAATTATTTTTGGTTATCGTTGGTGAAGATATTCGCTTTGGTCGAGTGTGTGAGACTTCAGGGAGGCTTGGGAAGCGAGATTTCTAAGCCAATCGGTGCATATAGCATTTTTATCAAATCATATGAATTCAGAAGTGTTTTGAGCCCTTGGAAAGGTTTTTTGAGCATTTTCCCGTTACAATTTGGATTCCTTCTCTTTTATAAATTTATGGTAAAAAATACGTACTATATA